CTGTCATCATCATAGATTCATAATTAATGTATTGGTGTATACAGAAACATCAGACTATATTGAGCTGGCAGCCATGTGATCAATCACTTCAACTAATCAGTTAGAAAAACCACAGTTCTTGATGAGATGAAAAATATGCCTTCTACTTGATTTCCAGAAAAGATGGCTGTCAATAAGATAAAGCAAATTGATGTGTCATAATGCTTCTTAAAGGCCATATTGACTTTGGATTGATATAATGGTATTCTGGACACTGTACCATGCATCCTAAACTACTCAAACGTTAACAGAACTTCCAAACAACATTTATATAACGGAATGAAATCATATCAGTGATTTCTTATCACACTAAGACACCGTAGAATGCTGACAGGTTAGGTATCTGAAATTAAGGTATATGTTCATGTGGTCTATTTAGCAATAAGAGGCCAAAAAAAAAAAAGGTCCTCAAGAAACACAAAATGTAGAACAGAATCCATCAAAATCTTAAGGTATGTGAAATAAGCCAGCTAAACCTTTTAAATCAAGAGAAGAAAGGACAAGTCATCCCTCAGATCATGGTAAACTACAGGGAAAAAAGACTTATATGCCACCTGCAATCATATCCACGACCAACCTCTTTGACTCAAATGATATTTTATCAACTGCATGTAGCAGTATGCAGTATGCAGACTAACAGATGAAGGATAAAATAAATATAAAAAATTATGAGTTAATGAAATTATAGCCCAAGGCGGTTTCATGTTGTCTCAATTTGCTTATTCCATCTACCCTATAAGAGGCGGTGGCTGTAAAGAGTAGCTTTTACACGACACGTGACACACAAGACTCCAAGTCTTTATATTTCATTTCCTAATCTAATATTCGTCTTGCAAAAATTATACCCCTCCCACTTTCAAATTAGTCCAAGGTTTGGCTCTGTTATGCAGTGGAGGATATAATGGCACTAGGCACACAACTCCTAAAAAAGAAATCATACAGAAGTTAAGAAAATTAAAATGAGTGGGAAGTTTAGACACAATGTTCAATAATCCAAAAACTTATACAGAAATAATATCCACAAGGGATAAATCAAATCATAAAGAGAAAATATAAGAAAAAGAAACCGTACAGAATGTACGAGAATTAAATAAGTGGGACATCAGTTTAGAAACAATGTACAATTATCCAAAAACCTATACAGAAATGTCCACAGGACTGCACAGAATATTAAATAAGTATTGAAGTATCCTTTAGCTTAGGCATTTTAAAGAACTTTCAACATAACTTCCATAGTGGTAAGTCATGTTGGTTCCTCATCCACTAACGATACCATCCTTTTGAAGAGAGAGAGGTCATGGGTTTGACTTTTAATGGAGTAGGTTGCCAAGCTCCCCAATGGTGGGAAGGGAACCCTGGAAGAGGAAAACTTATGTTGCACAATAACTGAATCAAAGAAATCAAAATACTAACTCTCTATATGGTGGGAAGACAGTATATCTTAATGAAATGCCTTGGTGGTGAAATGGTAGACACGCGCTCAAAATCTCGTGCTAAAGAGCGTGGAGGTTCGAGTCCTCTTCAAGGCATAATATACTGTTATACAAAATACTAACTCTCATGTGTGGATAAAAGATGAAGCACTCGAACTGAATCAAAGAGATGAAAGATTGTACAACTAGTTCCTCTTAAAAGAAAACTACAAAAATGACAGTAGAGCTTTGCTGCAGTGACATGATACTGAAAAACCAGAACTACAAGGGCTATCTCATACAGTTAATTTGGCATAATGTTAATTCTACCAAATATCAAACCAAAGCATAATTATGGATATTAAGAATGCTTTTTTCTACTAATAAAAAATTAAAAAAAGAAGAAACATAGGTGTTAGTCCACGCCAAAATACGACTATGATGCATATTTTAGCAATTAGCATGTAACTTAAAATGCACTGATGTAGTGCAACGTTAGGTACCTGGTACGAAGAACGAGAGGGTACATGGAATGGCAATGGGGTCTAGGTAGTTTCTTTGGTACGGGATTCGAAGGGGTAGGCATACAATCAGCAATTGGCAAAAAATAATAATCAAGATGTTTGAGCATAAATGAATTAAGTCAGAATTTTTTTAAAAAATATTGTATGCAAACTATGGATATATCGTAAGTGTATATGTATAGATCTAAATTTGTAAAACAACATAGAATTAAGCACACGAAGCCTACTCAGAAAATGCAACCGAAACCAAATGAAAATTGAGTTTGATTTTAATGAAATGGAAACCCTAATCAGTTAAATACTTAACCTCTCGCAGGCGTCTTCGAGGGAAGAGAAGGCACGCTTGAAGTCGGGATGACAGACCCGCCAGGCGTCCTGGTACGCCATCTGTAGCTCCGCCTGGTTCCCGGGTCGGATGGCCCTCTGTTGCTGCTGTTGTTGTTGCTGCTGCTGCTGTTGTTGCTGCTGCTGCTGCTGTTGTTGGGGCTGTTGCTGCGGGTTCGCAACAGGATTTTGTTGGAGATTAGGAGCAGAATTAGGATTAGGGTTAGGGTTGGGGTTGGGGTTGGGGATAAGGTTAGGTTGGAGATTGAGGCCTCGGAGTGGGCGCAAATGGGCGTCGATGTTGGAAGGGAAACGGGAAATGGCCGCGGCCTGTTGGGCTTGTTGCTGTTGCCTTTGTAGTTGTTGTAAGAGCAATAACTGTTGCTGTTGATGTTGCTGTTGCTGTTGATGTTGCTGTTGCTGTTGATGTTGATGGTGTTGATGGTGTTGCTGTTGCTGCTGCTGCTGGTGTTGCTGCTGCTGCTGCTGCTGCTGGTGTTGCTGCTGCTGCTGCTGCTGCTGCTGCTGCTGCTGCTGTAGCATTAGTTGCTGTTGGTGTTGAGCCAATGCCTTTGCCTCTTCCATCTTTCTTTCTCTCCCCGAAACAAAACTAATCTCCTCCTTTTATTATCTCTGCCTGTGAAAACTTCTGCTGCTTCTGCTGCTTTTTGGCTGATGATGTCCTTTAACAGGCAGAGCACAGAAGGAGAGAATATGATCCCACATCCGCAAACACAGATTATATAGGTTAAGAAAATGTTAATGATGTAATCGACCTCAGTGGAACGCTGCCCTTCTCACCGGACTCTCTCTATCTAAGTGAATCGGATTTTGATCTGAATCCGATCCGCATCCGGTATAATTAACTGGGTATGAATTTCAATTTTATATCTTTTTTAAATTCATTAACCTAATCAAATAAATAAGAACTAGCCTGCGTGCCAATTGATTTTTTTTTCTCTCTCAGTAATTCAGTTTAAAATTAGGAAAGACCAAAATGAATTCAATTGTGTCTCATGTGAATAGCAGTCATATTCTCATATTATTTTTTATTTTATAAAAATATTATTAATTTACTATATTACTCTCAATTAATAAATGCTAGCCTCTTGACACACGCATTTGCCAATTATTTATATATTTTTTTCCATATGCAAATATATTTTCTTTTATACATCATGTAAACATATAAATATTTAAAAATATAAATAAAAAAACTGAAAAGAAAACAAAAAAAAAGAATGTGGGGTGGGGAGTAAAATGACGATTGTGGATGGAGTGGGAGTAACTTCCTACATATAATTTTTTTTTTTTGGTCAAAACTTCCTACATATAATTACTTAGGTGCAATTCATTTTTATTTTATAATTGATCAAATTAGTGTTTTACCATTTTACCCCTACTATATTAATTTGCAGTTTTTTGGCCCTTTGGTTAATTAAGGGTATTTTTTTGGGTTTTTGAATGTTTTTATTATTCTCTGTATTTTGCTATATATAATATCGATAATATCGAGATGATTAAGACAATGGAAAAATTGAAGAGTTATTTACACTAACACCCATGAGGTTTCTTGTGTTTTCACAAAACCCTCTTATATCTCAAAAATTACGTGGACATCCCATGCAATTTCAGTTTGTTTTCATAAAACATTTTTTCGTTGATTGTTTGTCCAAAAAATGATGATGTCATTGAAAAAAATAAAACTTATGCAAATGACAAAATTAACCTCAATGAAGTATATGCAATCTAATCTCAAAGGCCAACTTTGTCATTTAGATAATTTTTTTGTTCGACGAAAAATCAATGGAAAAGAGTTTAGTGAAAACAATTTAAAACCTCAGGGGGTGGTCTTATAATTTCTAAAACGTTAAGGAGTTTTATGAAAAAGTTGAAAACCTCAGAGGGTGTTAGTGTAAATAACTCAAATTTGAACTTTATTGGAATTCTATATGGTACCAAGTGACTTATGAATCTTATCATGAAATGTATAAAGTGTAAAATATTGAAGTAAATCATTATAAATAAATGATTATAGTGTGTTTAATAGGCTTTCATTCATTACTACGTATATGCTTGCAGTGTTTGTCATATCGCTATATTATCAACTTAAATTAGTTAAACTCATCATGCAATGTATTTCCTTTCAATTTTTTTGTGATAAAGTAATAAATAATTGACTAAATAAACATCCTCTAAAATTTCAATAATATTTTTATTAAGTTTTTCTTACAATTTTCATGGTTTTTATTCAATTTTTATCGATATCGATAATTTTATGATATTTCCATCAAAATTTTCGTGTTTTTGGACTACTGATATTTCCAAAACATCGATATTTTAGACCTTGGTTGTACCCTAGTTTTCAACACGTTCCCATCCCGCACATAATATGCATTTAACTGGGAATGAACCCCAATTATAATAATTTGATTAAAAAGTATCCAAAATTATTTGAAGAAAATCGGTCACTATCCCTAATTTTCAAACTATAAGTTCCTACAAAACCAACGTAAAGATAAACGATAAACCATTATTTAATTGGATTAATTTGATTAGAAAAACATTTAATTGGATTTTCGTAAGAAGAAAATGAAATGAAAAGGAAAATAATAAAAAAAATCAAAGAAGTAATGGAGAGAATAGAAGAAAAGCCAACTGCAGCGTAGTCCCTTCTTCTTCACTTGTTAACTTTACAATTTACAAATATTGAAATAAAAGAATAAAGAAAAAGAAAATCCGAAACTCCCATTTGGAGGAAGAAAGACGGTGGCTGTCCCTCACATAACACAAATTCCTAATGCCTTGTATGCTATTTGCTCTTGTAAGCCCCAAATCGCAATTCCGTCTATCTTCTATCCTCGTCTTCCTTTATCTATCGACTATCGTCATCTGTCTGCAATAATCTATCTGACCGCTGCTACTAATATCTTGTTGTCGTCCGATAAGTAAATGCATTCATGTATAACGTATACAATTAGGGCCAGATTGTACTCTTAGAAATCCGATTCGTATTTACTAGCTCTATTCGTATATACCAATCCAATCCCCGAGTATTGATTGCAACTCAGAACAATCAGAATCATCTGATAATTTTTGGGTATGTTGATGGATCGTCTGGTGATGGGCTGGTAATGTTGCGGGATTGAGAAATGAAGGATGGGATTGGAATCGGTTGGTGGGGTCTTGGGCTTAATTGGAGCATCCAAAAGGTCCGTCCAATTGCTGATTCAACATCCTTAGCACAGTAATAGACTAAAAGTGTGTTTGTTGTTGCTGTTGTTCTATTGTGTATATGTATATGATATCATCACCATCATCATCATCATCATCATCATCATCTTCATATTGATCAATGGAGGCACTGGGCATGGGCGGTTTCTGGGTCGGCGCTTGATTTTCAATTTTGGACAATGGATGAGCTCAGCCCTAGTCCTCAATCCAAAGACTCGGCTGCCTCTTCGTGGCGTCCCAGCCAGCTCGTCTTTAGTCCCTATTCCACGCAGACGCAGAGTGAAGCTCCCAACAGCAAATCCCAAACTTTGCGTGTCGTTGTCACAAAACCCGTAAGTATTTTTTCCCTTCTTCATTGCAATTTTTTAAGTGGTGCCATGAGTCGTTCACTTCATTTCTTGCTCTTTGCTATAGAATTATTCATCTTCGGAAGCTTTTGCATCCTGCAAACTCCCGTTCATACACATACATACATGTACAATTATATATTTACATATTGAGCTTCCATTCTTATGGGTGAAGAATTAGCCTGCTAGACAACCGTGTTTTTTTATTTTTGTTTTGGGTGGAGTGGGTGTACTGGGAAAGTTTAGGAGGTGCTCTGATTCTAATAATGCCTTTCCTGGAAATGTCAGGATAGTGCGTTGCCTATCGTACCAAAAAGAAAAAGTAGAATGCAAAAATACAAGTGAAATAAAAAGAGAAAATAGGAAACAAACTCGCAGGGAAGAAAAGGGTAATAATGTAGTTGAGAGGCTCAAAGGATAATCCTATGCAGAGGTTTGGCAAATTGGCAGGCATAGCAGAGATGCCATTTTAAATGCTTTGCTGCTTTGTTTAAGGTGTTGTATATGGTAGGAGAGGAATTGGTGAACTTTTGTGTACCTCCCATGTCCTATTCTAGTCCTGTAGTATTGTTGCTTTTAATTATGTGATGGGATACAACTACCTATGTTTCCTCTAACTTGTTATAATTGCTGAAAGGAAGTCTCAGATGCTGACTTGTAACACAATTGTTGATGCTTAAATCAGTTATCTTATGTACTAAGTATATTCCTCCCTTCACATTATTGGTCTTATATCACTCTGTTAAATTAGATTCTGTCTATCATAATAAAAAGGTATTCTGTCTCTCCTTTTCCCCAACTACAGAAATCGTTGGTCTTATCACTCTGTCTCTCCTTTACCCCAACTGCAGAAATCTTTAGAAGGTTCTTTGTTTGTTATACTCTTTGAGTAGGTAATAAAATAATAAGTAGGTTGGCAAATGTGTTGCACAAGTTTTGTACTTACCTTTTAATAGCATACCATTGCTACGAATAGCTGTGAATTCCGTATCTCTTTCGAGACACGGACCTTCATTTTTGGCCTTGGGTTTGATACTAATGCTGTAAATGGATCAGATTGGTTGGGTCAGGGTGCACGTGAATTTATCGAAGTAAAAAGTTTCAAGGCTGGCATGATCCTTCAACAAATTTATTTTCATTTGATAAGAGTGAAAAAGTGCCAACTCTGATCTTTCACTTGATTATAACTTTTGATAAAAATGCTGAAGATTCTTGAACTATATTTAACTTTGGGTTTATATGTACCTTCACCCAACTAGAATTGTTAATGTTATTCAGTCGTATGTATCAAATAATTGCTATTTAAGGGGGAAAATTACATATTGAATTCTTTACAGAATCATGTAGGTATTCTGCTGCAGTGGTGCATTCTTTGCAAAAACTGTTTAGAATCGACTGACCATCTTTTCTTACAGTGCCCGGTGACTTTGAACGTATGGTTTTGCTTGTTTAGGGAGTTCGGAGTCAGTTGGGTTGTGCCCAAGGACTACCAGTCTTTCTTGTCCAATATGCACAGAATCCCTGGGAACGGGAAGAAAGCCAATGTTTTATGGGGTTGTAGTGTGTTGGCTGTTCTTTGGGTGGTTTGGTTAGAACGAAACAGATTAATTTTTGAGGACCAAGCAGGTCGCAAAACTGTGGAATAATGGGAGAAAGTTAGACTATGTTCTTCACTATGGACCTCGACTTCTTCAGTCTTTAGAGATATCTCCTTTAGGGTTATTTGGCTGGATTGGAAAGCAGCCATTTCCTAGCTATAGGTTGTGTGTGCGCTACTGGGGTTCTTTTGCTAGTAGCTTAGGGTTTTGTTCAGTCTAGTTGCTCTTTCTTTGTGGCCATGTTGGCCTTCTCTGTATTTTGTTGTCTATTGCAATAAAATTTGGTTCCTTTTCAAAAAAATGTAGGTATTCTGCTGTTATACTTAAACAAGGATAGCCTCTGAGTTCTGTTTATTCCTGAGGATTGGTACCATCAATGGGAATTCTTTTTCAGTGGCCACATTGTTTTGATATAATTTAATACAGCATGTTTTGATGTATTATGTCATTGTATCTCATTCTCTGTACATGGGTATATATGTCTCGACTTGAAATTATTTGAAGAAGATTTTTGTGCTGACACAGAACATTGTATTGTGCAGTTTGTGGCTAGGCTAACCAAGGACATAGTTGAAACATACCATATATGCAATCCACAGTTTAAGTATTCAGAAGAATTGAATCCAAAGAGATATTTGACCAGCCCATCAATTGGAGTACTCAACGATGGCTATGATAATGTTAACTCAGATCTTATTCTGACTGTAAACTTTGTCTTGGTCAATCTAGACACGCAGCGAAGGTGTGTTATTATCTGTGTTTTTTCTTTTCATGCTATGTTGACTGACTTTAAAGGAACCTGTTCCTCGTTTTTGCTTCACTGCTTTTTGTTTCAAGGTAATTTATTTTTCAAATTTAATCCCTTACTTGATCTTGTTTTTTGGTTTTCCAAAATGGTATCAGAGCGACTTGTCTATATAGAATTATAGCATCTTGTGTGCTTCACTTCTTTTCTTTGTAATTCAGTTTAATGCTATGTTTCATAGTCCATGTGCTATTTCGTGCTGCTTAATATACATTGTTGAGCCCATTTCCAATAAGTTATCTAATGCGCTTAGCATGGTAGTATTTCAAATTTCATCAAGCCTTTGTGCTTGTAAATTCATCAAGTTTGTTCTTGTGATGTCTCACAGTTAAAAGTTAACAAAAATGGGAACATGTAGTTAATTATAAAAGAAAGGCAGAGATAGCAAATGTATTTACAAATTTATGTTGTAATCTGTACTTCTCATGGTGGCCCAACATCAGACTAACTTAGACCTTTTCAGTTAGTATTTAATTTTTATGGCTTTTCCCCTTGCTCTTTTCAGATACGTTGTCAAAGATGTTCTTGGCCAGGGGACATTTGGTCAGGTTGCTAAATGCTGGGTTCCAGAGACTAACAGCTTTGTAGCTGTGAAAATCATAAAAAATCAACCAGCATACTATCAACAAGCCCTGGTTGAAGTATCCATTTTGACAACGGTAATGCTATTCTCTTTTTCAGTCGGTCTCTCATGTTCACTTCCTTACTGTTTGCTTTACTTTTTTCTTTGCAGTTAAATAAGAAGTACGATCCTGAGGATAAGCATCACATAGTTCGTATTTATGATCACTTTGTATATCATCGTCATTTGTGCATTTGCTTTGAACTGCTGGATACGAATCTGTAAGTCACTGACACTACCTATTTAGTTGTGAGTTGAACTCAATGTAACTTGATGCACCATTTAACCCCTTAATTATTGTAATTGTTGTTTTAGTTTTTCCCCGCACATCGTTTTGACATTTTGCAGTTATTCAGGTATGAGCTTATCAAGATAAATCATTTCAGGGGACTATCCCTGACCATTGTCCAATTGTTTTCTAAACAAGTATGATAGTTCTTGCTTGTATTTGATTTTGAACATTTTGTCTCTTTGACGTTACTATATCTTAACCCTTATTTTCTCTCTTTTCCCCTTTTGGTAATATTTCCTTTAAAATAGATTCTACAGGGATTGGCTCTGTTAAAAGATGCTGGGATAATTCACTGTGATCTGAAGCCAGAAAACATTCTTTTGTGCACAAGGTGAGTTACTTTTAATGATAAATTTGGGACTATTTTTGTTATAGATCTGTTTCATTTTAATCTTTGCATATTTTCCCTTGATGCAACAGTGTTAAGCCAGCAGAAATTAAAATTATTGACTTTGGATCAGCATGCATGGAAGATCGAACTGTTTACTCCTACATTCAGGTTTGCATCACTGCATACTGCCCAGGCTTATCGAAGTCTTATCTTTCATAGAAGGGTCTCTTAGATGCTACTTTTCATTTGTTCTGCAGAGTCGTTACTACAGATCTCCTGAAGTTCTTCTTGGATACCAGTATCCTTGAAAATGAAGTGACGTTTTGTAATTAATTTACTAGTTATGCTGTCTCTTTGGTTTTGATCTTGGTTGGGAAAAATCATAATCAAACCCATCAGCAACCTGGCTATGGGTTTCATCTAAGGTTGACCTTTTATTTTCTGTTATCAATTTTTATTTATTTATTTTTCTAAAGGTAATGTCAATGTGCAAGCCTGATAAGATCACATTAGTAGGCTAACAGTGTTGTTACTGCAGTCCCAACTGAACATCTGGTCTGGTCTAAGTTGTTCCAGCTGGACCTTGGATTGCCGACTTCTGGAGTTGGCTTAAGCTTTGTGACCCTTGCGACTTTGGCCTAAAAAATAATCTGAGCTGCATTATTACTATCTTGCCTTTATATTCATGATTTGTTTTGCAGGCTGCAACTTTCCTAAGAATATCTAAGCCTAGTGGTCCTGAAAATGTAGAGTGATGGTTGTATCTGTAGATAATATTCTAACTTCATATTTGATGGATTAGATGTTTAAAATTGGGTCCAGTTTTTATGCTCATACTTTTTTATATCTGGATTTTTGTGGTACTTAACCCCTTTCCAGATATACTACTTCTATTGATATGTGGTCCTTTGGATGTATAGTTGCTGAATTGTTTCTGGGATTGCCATTATTCCCAGGAGCTTCAGAATTTGACCTCCTAAGGCGAATGATTGAAATACTTGGGTATGCCTTTTTCTTTTGTGTTAGTAATTTAAGGAAGGGACCTAATTTCATTTATTTATTAGGTACGATTATGATATGCATGATTTTTTACGGTTTCTTTGTTTACTTTTTTATCATTATGATTCCCCTTGTTTTCATGAAATGCTGTTTAATTAAGGGCTTATATAGCTTTTGCAGTGGTTTTAAAATTATCCAATGAAAAATTATGATTCTTTCCCATGAAATTAGTTCTATTGAGTATTGAATCAAGATTTCACCCGAAAGCTTTATCACTTTGCCTAATATTAATACTGCTCTTTATTCTCCTCTTCTTTCTTTGTTATTCATCTTATCTCAACCTTGACCTCTGACTGGAGTTTCCGTAGCTAATATTTTCTTGCCATATGAGTCCCAATCAAATAAGATTTCTCGTATTTTCTATTTGAAATCCTAACCCCCATGGTTTTCCCTAAATTTTAGACCAATAGATAATTTTTAGATTCACAGTTTGTACTTTATGTCCAATTTTAGCCTCCAATTCATTATTGGCTGGGATTTCGTCTGGGAGGAGAGACCATTTAATGAATTGGGATATTGTTTAGAAACCAAAAGAGAAAGGGGGTTAGCTATGGGAAATTATTAAAAAGGAATAATGCATAGCACAGTTATTGGTTATCGTTTTCTCAAAATTGATATTTTTTATGGTTGTCATATTGTAGAGGGCAACCCCCTGATTGTGTACTTAAGGAGGCAAAAAACACGAGCAAGTTCTTTAAGTGCATTCGGAGTGTGCACAATGTGGAGAACGGGGAACTTTCTGCAAGTGGAAAAAGTGCTTATCAAGCACTAACAGAAGAAGAATATGAAGCTGTAAGTTTCTATAGTATAGAATTTTTCTGGAAAACGAAACTGTTGGTTAGGAGAAAAGGATCCTATAGAGAGCTAGAGAAATGAGAAACAAATGATGAACATTACACATGTATTGGTTCGATTCATCTATGAGTCTAACTCATATTTCTTTTCAAATTTCTCTGAATTTACAATGGTGGAACCATTCTAAGATTTTAGTAATTCTTGACCCCCCCTCTTTCTTTTGTTTCATAAATTATCATAATATATATATTTTTAAATACTCTGAATTTTAATATTTTCTTTTTAGTTCTTATGCTCACTGGTTTCTGTTCAGAGAGAGTTGAAAAGACCATCAATCGGGAAAGAGTATTTTAATCGTATGAACCTCGAAGAAATTGTTACAAACTATCCGTATAGAAAGAACTTACCTAAGGAAGACGTGGTTAAAGGTTTGCTTTATGCTTTTGAATATTCAAAGCTGACGACACTGAAGCAGTTCTACTTAATGCTTAACTGCTTTCTCTTATTGAAGTTAGTAATGCTGTTGCATGGTATCAAATATGTGCAGAAAGTCAAATACGACTAGCTTTGGTTGATTTTTTGAAGGGACTTGTTGAGTTTGATCCTGCAAAACGCTGGTCGCCTTTTCAGGTTGCTAAATGTCATCTCTGCTACTTTATTTCTGATACACTGTAAATAATGACAAGCAAATGGATTTTGAGTTGGACTTCTACCTGCAGGCTTCAAAACACCCTTTTGTTACAGGGGAACCTTTTACACGCCCTTATAAACCTCCCTTGGAGACCCCTCGCATGGTAAGTGGGCCCATTTATGAACTATTTAAATCTTTTCAAGCCACACTCAGATATCGAATGTAATTGTGCTTGGTTTCTTCTTAATTGATACATCGATTAATGTGATAGGTTTTGGCATAATCTGATATTGCTTTAGTTTGTGAGTGAATGTAATTTGTATACATATATTTGTTAATGAAATATGCAGGTAGTGATGAAAAGTTGATTTTAAATTGGTTTTATATTCTAGCTGTAGTTTAACATCTGTAAATATGCTTTTGAGTCTCATACTGAATGAGTGAGGATCGCCTCATCCTACCTCCTGAGTTTCAGCCATACTTATGAAATTTGTACCAGGACTAGGTTGCTTATTGCAGTAGTTAGTTATTGGCTGCGTTAGAAGTTCTGCAGGATATAATACTAACTGCTTTTCTTTATCTCTCTTCTTCTTTGTCTTTGACCTCCTTGTCCTCTTATTTTCCCTTAGCCTGTTGCTCAAAACATAAGGGTGGATCATCACCCTGGTGGGGGCCATTGGTTTGCTGCTGGTCTCTCTCCTAATGTAAGCTTGCTGCTCCTAAAAATATGCCATTGCTTTTATTTTTAGCTTGTCTATAATAATCATCTCAGCTATAACTGTACTTTGATTCTTCAGATTCCAGGCAGAAATAGAGTCTCCATGCATAGCAGCCCGCATTTTCAGGTGGTGCCATATGCACATGCTAATAGCTACGGCAGTGTAGGAAGCCATGGTAGTTATAATGATGGTACTGGACTAGGAAGCAGCTATGGAAGTTATGGAGATACTAGTAATGTGTTCGCTTATTATTCTCCAGTTGGCCCATCTGGGATGAACATGCATGCACAAGGCAATGTGCCGATGCTCGGAAGTAGCCCGGATGCAAGACGGAGGATTATTCAATATTCACATGGAAATGGACTTGGTATGAGTCCTTCGGCAGGAAGTTTTGCTCCTCTGCCACTAGGCACTAGTCCTTCACAATTTACTCCACCAAGCTCCTACAGTCAAGTTTCTGCCGGCTCGCCAGGACATTATGGTCCCACTTCTCCAGCAAGAGGCAGTTGTCATGGATCACCTTTAGGAAAGATGGCTGCTGTTAGCCAGTTTAATAGACGAAAAAGCTGGGGATATCCTGGAGGTTCTCAAACTCAAGAGAGTTCATCTTCACACTGGCAAGGGCAAGCAACTGACGGCACCAGTTCTAGCCAAGCTGAGGGGAACTCTCAAATACTAGGTAGTTCACCATCACATCTGCATTTAAGCTCTAATGCTGGAAGCTGGAAGCAGCAGCGAGGAGGCAGTGGTATTTCTCCTGGTTACTTAGCCATTCAGAGCATGCCAGCTTCCTTCACAGTTGGTTCCAATATGCAATTCCCAAATACCACGGGAGTGGCTCATGAAAAGCCCGAGGCTAGCCTGTCATTGCCTGATCCTGGGGATTGGGATCCCAATTATAGGTAAGTGGGCAGTATATCTTCTAAGGGGTTTTAGCAGTAAGCCCCAAAAAGGAACACTATTTTAGCAATAAACCTCTAATTGTTTAATACTTATTTCTAAGCCCTCATCTTTTTCTATTTTAAGACTGGCCGTTCTGGGTAAAAGTTTTATTATAATCCCCATTTAGGGCCTAAGAATATATATATATATATTGGTAACTAAATGTTTGAATATTGACAGTGTTTTTACTAAGTTTCCCATCTTTTAGTTGCTACAAAGATATGATTCCTATGAGTGTGCTGCATGCTTTTCTTTCATTAATAGATGTTTGCAGTCAAAATTTAGGTATCAAGCATACAGAGAACTTTAATTGTGAGCCTCAATAAGAGTAGGACCCTATATGATGATGGTTTTATGACTCAGCATGACCCAATTTTAGCCTTTCGCTGACCCCTTTCTGAGTTTGTAAAGGCGCTAGACCAGATAACTTAAAGACGTAGGGCCAACTGTTAGTTCCATGAAGCTTACTGCATGGTTGGGGAATGATCATAGCCTGGGTTCTCTTCATTGTGACCTATAAGATCTCCTACCATATAATTAAGCCAGTCATGGTAATCTTTCACTTTTTCAACAACATGCATCTTAATCAAGAATGATATAGTACAAAGTTATTGCATTGTTTCCATCGTTAAGCAAACCTTATATTGGTTTATCCATACATAATTTTGACCATAATGGGAGTGTCTACTACGTAGCAAGATGTTAAAGTTGAATGCCAATTTCATTGCTAACCATTCATTGGGCTTCCTCACTGGTTTTCATCTAGGCTCAACTCAAGCAGTTGGTTTACTTGTTGAAGTCTTGAATCAACCTCGTATTTCTTCTGAATTTAATGTGCATTCTTCTTTCTTCTGTCTTTCCATTCTCATTCCAGTGATGAACTTCTTCTGCAAGAAGATGGTTCAGATGTTAGCTGCTTTACTACTGAGTTCAGCCAAGGCATGCATCTTAATTCTGCAGAAAAATTGGTTGGGGCGGGAAGATTTAATCGTGTGTCAAATACGAGCTCAGGCCTATCCTTTCAAAGGTAAGTTGTATCGTCTATCTATCACTTAGTTATTCTGAAATTACGTGAGCAAGTTTATGTATACAAGTATTTACCACATGACTGATGCAGTTTGTAGAGTCTGCAGTAACACTAACTCATGTGGATTGATCTGCAATGAGATAATTACTTGCCTTGTTTTCCTCAGCTGAAAATTATATGTATACGAGTATATTTCAAATAACTGATGTAGTCTTCGGTATTGTTTTAAAATGTGGGGATGGATCTGCAACAATATATTCAAATGTTTCCTCCTGCAAAATGCTTTACTGTGCTATTTGCTATTAATGGAGGTTTCTAATGATGAACAAGTTTCCTAATGAGAAGAGGCAGAATGTTACAATTGACACATTTCCGTACTTGTCTTTTGGAATAGAGTTCTTTCTTCTCCTATTCTTATTTCTTTGGTCCCTCTGCATATTGATTACAATTGTCTACCATCTCTTCAGACAAAATGGGCCCATTCAATCGTATTCACATGCAGAGGTGGGTAGCCCTCCTTCAACTAATGAACCACTTGCTGGATACGCACGCTTGCCAAAACCTTCTCATTTTCCACATATATCACAAAATTCTCCAAGCCGGTTGGGACAGCAATATCAGCGGTCCAGTCAAGGAAGACCCACCAATTCTCGTGTTGGTGATTGGAATCATATGAAGGTGCAGGCTCCTCCTCCCAATTTTAATTCTGGTGGCCCACTTTCTCCGGGAAATAGCTCATTCGGCAACGGCATGTCATGGGGTACTTTCTGACTTCACATCATAAGCCATTCTACCCTCCATTTTCCTTTGTCTGCTATCATCCTAGTAAACAAAATCTGTCAAACTATTAATGTGTTTATGGGAGAAGGGGGATTGAATGGAGGGTTGGGGAGCTGAGAACATTTAAACTAATTGTGGCACTCTATTGTAGGGCGTAGAGCCAGTCATCCTGTCACTAGCATTCCACCTGCATCCCGAGGAAGAAAGGACTATGGAAGGATTGCCTAATGTTGGAATTAGTTTTTTACTGTGAACAATCAGATCCTGAGAGTTGGCAAGAACATTGTACAACTTGTACTCAATAGTTCACATGGGTAGTGAGCTCATGCTACGAAAATCCACATACAGATCATGCTCATTCATTGTGCTTGCACAATATAATTTGTGGTTAATGATTCTCTTGGTCTTGTTACATTTCATGCAATTAGTATTGCTTTCCTCAATGGCTTTAGTCTTCTCATATGTTTATCAAATGCCAGAAATTTAATTTAGGTATCGTGCTGATTCTGAAATGGATTTTTATGTGTTTGAAGGAATTTAACCTAGTTATTGAGATAAACTGCAGCAGCTGAAAAGAATTTCAAGAGTTCGTGTAAATTGATGAATGAAGTTCAGAATTTACCATGGGTTGTTTTGGTGTAAATTTGATCTCTCTCTCTCTCTCTCTCTCTCTCTCTCTCTCTCTCTCTCTCCCCCCTAAAAAAGAAAAGAAAAAGAAAGAGTCCAAGGTTAACTAGAGGTTTTTGTGAGACTAGCTCGCTAAATCCGCGTTGTAAGTGAGTTAAGCTGAAATTTGTTTTTAATTATATATTTAGATATATAATATGAACAATTCTGAGGATTTGTTCAGTTTGAGTAAAGGAGATGTGTAAGAAGCTTAGAATTTAGTAATTCATGTTGTGCAAAATTGTGAAGGGAACAGTGTTGTAATGCAGTGGCATAATAGTGCTCACTTATGTATTTATTAAACTTTAAGTGGTTACTGCTTCATTTATTGTTTGAATGATAGTGACTATTATTCCTTTTTTTTTTCATAAGAGTATTATGGATACGTTTCTTTTCCTGCATTTGAATGTTTTTTGTTCTTCGTATTACACCTGCTTCATAAGCTGGGCTCCAGCCAGGTCCCAATAATCTGTGAGGCTTGCTACAGAACGACAATTGTAGCAAGATACCAATAGTTCCTTTGCATCAATAAGATTTTATTCTTGTTTAGCATTTCCCGCTTGTTATTCTCATCTTTGCATATGAAGATAAATACGATTATTATTTAGTTTTTTTTTTCTCTGGTGTGGTTTAGTCGAATGACTCTGTTTATAACTTAAGCTAGTTGTATTTTACGTAATAAGAGTAATGTGAGCTTTTCTTATTTTCGTCTGGCTTGCTTGGCTCGTATTCAAATTCAGGTGTCGTAGTGCCCAATGTTCTTGTGTTATGTTTTAAACCACGACTCGAAGTAGAAAGTTGAAGATGTTCTTGTGTTATGTTTTAAACCACGACTCGAAGTAGAAAGTTGAAAGGGCGTATGTAACTGGAGTTATAAAATAAGTGAACTTTGTGGTGGTATTATTAGCAGTTTGAAATCTTACTAAACTTTATTCTAGATAGAAAAACATAAAATATATATTATTTCATTTAAATTAATTGTCATAAGTGATCCTATGTACGACTTTGTTATTTGCTTTATGCATTAGTAATGGGTATAGAAAGAAAGGGAATGATTTCTATTCCTCACTTCCCCCACGTTTTCTTGCAATCAGAAATGAAAAAATGTGTGAGTTCCATCTCAAAATCCGTAATTACATTCCCTCAAAACTAGGAATCGGATAAACTACTTTTTTTTTTATCTTACTACCTTCCAAAAATATCCTTATCACTTTACAATAATTCCAAACCACCCCAAACCCTAGAAAAATAAAAACTCACACCAAGAAAAATGAAGAAAAAGGCAAAATTTAATAGATGTTTATTAATCATTGTTGGAAAAAGCATAATTTTTCCCTTTTCAACTTGGTTGCTAGCCTGCACTTGTCTTGTTATACTTCTTATCACTTTGTCATATTTTTAAATTTTTTTTTTCTATTATATTCCTTATATTATTATATACTACTTTTTTTTCATCACTCGTCATATAGTATCATATATTATATATTAGTTGTAAAATAAAGTTTTGTCAATTTGCTTTTTTACAAGTTACATAGGTGAAAATATATATTTATATGTGCATGGCATTTGAGTGATCAATTTAGTTTAGGTTAATGAGAATAATTCTTATCATACAGATTCCTTACTTTCTCCATTCCTGTTAAGCAAACAACCCAATAACTTAATGAGAATGATTCTTATCATACCGATTTATATTTTAGCTTTAATATTTAAACAATTATTTTTTAAAAGTAATAAGGGTTGAGGGGTGGGGATAACTGCCGCATCTAGTGAGTGGGTTTTGTATTTAAATGATAAGTTTCATATCTAAACCCTAATAATAAATGGTAGTCTTTTAGCACTTTAGTTAATAAATGCTTCATCATATGGAAGATAGGGAGCATTTTTGCTCATCACTTTAACCTGATATGTACCCTCACCACCGTTATTAAAACTCGATGCATGTGCAAAAAGAGGATTGGAGCATGCTTTCTTTTAAGGATGCAATGCGAGCGTGTGAAATGTAAAGCATAGTTGGTTAACATAGTTAAGTGGTGACGTGTGGTGCGGCGGGTCCAACCATTTTTCACATATGCAGTTGTTATGCTCGTTGTTTTTGGCTCTTGGAACGTCAAATAATCATGGGCATCCACAGGAACAAATTATGAACAAACAAAAAAAGAAAATCGAAATATCAAAAGTTGAAAAAAAAAAAATCAAGAAAGAGGAGGAGGAGAGAGAGAGCAGAAGAAGTTGTGCCTAGTCTACACATAAATCAAATGGCAGGTCGCTCACCACACAAAGCCGGACCCAATCTCTTCCAACCAATAGCATCCCTCCATCCCATATCTCTAAACCCCCTCTTCCGCCCCTTGTTTTTTCTTTTTATTTCTGTCTTTAGCAATATATCGAATTTCTCTAATTTGTATTCAAACTTGAGAAAAAAAGAGCCAAAAAAAAAAAAAAAACCATTCATTTCCATATCAGAGCTTCAGTTGTCAGCCTCCCCACTCCACCCACCTGTTATGCCGTTGTGCTAACTTTGGGTTCACCGTCATTCTCTTGTTTCGGTCAGCTAATAATACATATATAGAAACAACATTTCCTTCCCCTACCTGCGTCTACTGACTCATTCAATTCAGGTACGCTTATTTTCATATCAATCAACTTTCTCATTTACTCAATTCCTTCCTTCCTATTCGAGTCGAGTCGTAAAAACGCTGCAATCAAAATCAAAATCAAAAGCTGATTGATTGCATGAACGTTTGAACTCCTCATGGCTTGCAATTTTAATTTCTTTTCTTTTTCAAACGACAAGATTTGAAGCTAGGAAGACCTACCACTTTCCCACCCATCAATCCCAATGCCACTTGAATGAAATCGAGAGATTTCATGAAATGTTTTGATATTCTCTTCACCTTCATATGGCACCTAGAAATTAGAATGGTGTCATGTTGTACCTACCAAACCAAGTACCAACAGCCAACACATAATTACTATGGAATCTGGTTGAATTGGATACAGTGAGTTGGGGCAGAAAATAAAACCATTTCATGAAATCTTTCCCCCTTCATTTATGTTTTTTTTTTGTTGCTTAATTCTTTTGTTTCCTTTTTTCTACTTATGCTTTTCTATAACTAACCGCAAGTCTTACTAATTGATTTGTGGCAGATCCTAGAGCAACTCAACCAATCCACTTGCTTTGCTTGCGTTAGTGTAGTGAAGCATATCTATATCTATATCTATATCTATATATTTATCATAAAACAAGAGAACATAAGTTTTGCGTGGGTTTGATTTCTTAAGAAATTGTTATGGTAATCGTATAAACAAAAGAAGAAGCCATATGATGGCCACAGCTGCTGTTATTGGTCTTAGTACGGGGAAGAGGCTGTTGAATTCTTCCTTCTATTATTCAGATATCACAGAAAAGCTCTTTCATCTCAATGATCATCATGGGTTTTTACATTGCCATTTCTCTTCAACAAAGAATGTTGTCACTGCCAGAAAGCCTTCCAACTGCAGTTCCAGATTTCCATCTTCGAATCGACCTCAACAGTCCATTAGGGCTCTGAAAGAACATGTACATACTGCCTCTGCTCCTTCATCAGCCACGCAGCAATGGTTTCAGGAGCTCAACGACTTGGAGGAGGAAAGCTCTGATCTTGAATATTCAATGGAAGCACTTCTTTTGCTACAGAAGTCTATGCTGGAAAAACAATGGAATCTTTCTTTTGAGAAAAAAGTATTAAGGGATTCAACATCAAAAACAACTGACAAGAAGATACCAGTCACTTGTTCTGGGGTATCTGCTCGTCAAAGGAGGATGACTAGTACCAAGAGGAAAACTTTTAACAAAAGCACCTGCGTAATGCACCCTAGCACCAATAAGCCTTTGAGAGCCATTGTCAGTCCGGAGCTGCTTCAGAATCGTGTAAAGGGTTATGTGAAGGGTGTTCTAAGTGAGGATTTGCTGACTCACACTGAGGTTGTACACCTGTCAAAGAAAATTAAAGTTGGTCTTTCCGTAGAGGAGCATAAATCAAGGTTATAACTGTTTCCTTTAAATCATGTGAATCATAAGTACTAAAGTAAGTGGGTCAATATCCAGGAAAAGAATTTCAAAGTGATCATAGGATAAACGCTGAAGCATTGATTTATTGTTTAAAAACTAGATATACTCTAGGAAGTATGCTGCTTTTTTCATGAAGCAAATCCCTTTCAACTTGCTAAGTTATCAAACTTATCCACAGAGAGCAGGTAGTTTTTCTTTTACAGGGTGAGGAGTGTGGGTGTGTGTATTTAATTTTTCTGAAACTTTTAATTGATTAATCTTCTGAGTAAGTTCAACCTTATGGAGACTGGTTCCTCATGCAAAAAGAAAAAGAAAATCGTTGTTATCTGGTGGTTTTTCTTTCTAATCCTAATCCTTGCATTCGGATCTCCAGACTGAAGGAGAGATTGGGATGTGAGCCCTCTGATGAACAACTTGCAACTTCCTTGAGGATTTCCCGTGCTCAATTACAGTCGAAGTTGATTGAATGTTCTTTGGCAAGAGAGAAGCTGGCAATGAGCAATGTTCGTTTGGTCATGTCCATTGCTCAAAGATATGATAATATGGGCACTGAAATGGCTGACCTTATCCAGGTTATTTTCTGTTCTTTTAATTCAACAATGAGGCCCCGATATATATCCAACAAATGAACCAAACTACTGTAACTTGAACAGAACGTGATTGGAATCTCATAATCTCTCATGTAGGGTGGGTTAATCGGACTACTGCGTGGGATTGAGAAATTTGATTCTTCGAAGGGGTTCAAAATTTCTACATATGTTTACTGGTGGATACGTCAGGTAAGGCTAATGTTTTCCCTTGAAATGGTAAATATAGTGGGTAGCAATATATAGCAGATATCATCATGCAAAACTGACTGATTGAAAAAACTAACCCTGGATACTTTTTCCTTATATCCTCAGGG